ATTCCGCAAACTCAAAGAAGACACCTAACGTGAAGATTGATGTGAAAAATAATTTTTCTAGACGTGTGTGGGTAAGGAAATATGATTTGAGATGCCATAAGGCTTATACTTCTTTAGAAGCATGTACTAATGATTGTGGGTGTAGTGATGGCGGTTGCACTAAGCGATTGACAGGTGTTAAGAGCATTATACATGGAAGAATGCTACATTCAGGGGAGTACGACACATAAAAGATTCAGGGGGAGTAAGCTACAGAGTTCAATGCCCTCAAAGATATCTAGTGCGAAGTGTTGCACCGAGTGTTCCAGCAAATGTTCCAACATAATCTACGACATCAGCTGTTGAAGACGTGTCTAGGGTGTGATTTTTTTTGTGTCTTTGGCTTATTTTTGTCAAAAAAGGGGGAGAACAATGTAATTTTATATTGTTTTTGAATTTTTTTAGGATCTCTTGTTAGTTTTGCCAAAAAATGCCAAAGGGGGAGATTGTTAGGTATTTTTATTAGTTGGCAATTTATTGGCAATCTTGTAAAAATTTAAAAAAAAAAAAACAGGTTTAAGAAAATTTCGTATTGGAGAAGAAGATTCAGAATAAGATTTTAAGTTAAAGTTGCAGATTTTGTTGAGTTGAGATTTGAAGATATAAGGATAAAGGCTTAGTTAAAGGAAGATAAGGCATTGGTTATTTGAATTTAAATGGGATTCTACCAAGATAATGTGGAGATTAAGTTGCTATTTTAAAGGAGTAATTCAAATTTGAAAAGTAGATGTATAATCCGAATATGCATTGGTTTGTTTCAATTTGGCCACTACGAGATATAATTCAAAGGCATCATCTTTGGATATATATATATATATATATATATATATATCTCAATTTGAATTTAAAAAAGGTGATGGATAATTCAAAGCCTTTAGAAGTGGTGAAACGTGAAGATAAAGTGATTGATGGACGAATTGTTTGAATGTGATTTTTTTCACTTTATTTAAAGGTTTTGTTTCTTAGCATATGGATGTACGGGTTTAATAGAATATTTTCAAAAAGAGTCTGTGAGTTTTTGTGAGCCTAGTACGCTATTGAGATCGTCCTTCAGGAGAGGGATTTGTTGCTTTCGGGAGGAAGCTCTGCTAGTTGAAGGGAGTTTGTCAGGTGAATAGAAGACATGTGGTGCACGCTAAACAATCACTGTGGATATTCGTCACAGTGGCGTCATTGTCTAGGAGGGAGTCCTTAAGTGAATAAGTTCGTCTGGTATCTGTAATTTTTGGAACATAGTGAAATTGTTTACTCTCTGGGCGTGGCCCCGCAGATGTAGGTGTGCGCACCGAACTGCGATATCATATTGTGTGTTCCTTTACTTTCTGCACTTTATTTTGCTCGTGCAACTGAACGTAATTAACTCATATCTAACAACTAGATCTCTTAGAATTTCACCATTCCCAAGTTAATATACAAATAGGAAAAAGAGATGGGGCATAAATTTTTTTTGTCACACAATAATAGAGCCCACAATAAATTTTATAGTTTATCGATATTTATGTTCAAATGTTAGTTTACCAATTATTTCAAAATAAGGGCCCACAATAAATTTTATAGTTTATCGATATTTATGTTCAAATGTTAGTTTACCAATTATTTCAAAATAAGGGTCCACAATAAATTTTATATTTTAATATAGTAGCAGCTCTTGAACCGACCCGTTTCACAAAAAACTAGCCTTTTTAACATTGGTTTTCTTTTCGTAACAATAAAATTAAATCCAAGAAAAGCATTATGTGCTTTTGAGTACACAAACAAAATATCATGAAAATCAAACCATGACTGAGAGTGACAAAAGTAACGAGAGTTATGAACGTTAGAGAGGTGATTTAGGCACATGGTTGGTATATCTCTTGGATGATATTCTGAGAATGATGTTGAAGGATCGGAGTCATGGGACTCCGGAATTGGGCAAAACAAACTTTTTTTTTCTTTTTTTTTTTTTTGTAAGCAAGCAAGCCCAGAGCCCACCGCTGCCTTCTTCAGCCACACATATCTGCTTTGATGAATCCTAACGCACATGGGCATATCATAATATCGTAATAAAAGTCACAAGTCAAAATTCATATACTAGCTGGTGATCAAACTAATTTATAATCATAGGCAAAGTCTTTAAGCCCATACAGTTCGGCAAATATAATTTTTTCCGTATAAATGTGTTCATTATTTGTTTATATATTTAATTTTCTTTTTATATACCCGTATTATATAACTTTTTCCATATAAATGTGTTACATTGTTTGTTTATATATATAATTTTTTTTATATACCCGTATAATACTCAATATTACATGTGTTGGACTGTAATTATTAAATATTACACAAACAAACAAGAGTGTTACACTTATGAATAATGTTACACTGAGTGTACAAAAAAATAAAAGATAAAAATAAAAAAATAACACATACTTAACTAGTCCGGCTGCCGGTCTTAACAATTCTTACAATCATATGTGTGTGTATATAGGTCTCGTTCATTTCACCGATTTGAGTTTTGCTATATTAAAAAGTTTTTAAAAACAGTCATATCTAACTTTTTTATTATAGTAAAAAACTCTCACATAAAGTCACATATCAACTCGAATTAAAAACTCGAATCAGCGAATTAAACGACCTTATAGTATTTATTACAATAAATAGAAACAGAAAAGTCTGTTTCGGGTGAGATCGCTTGGAAAAAATATTGCATGTGCGACATGTTCTTTTGCCTAACGAACTAACAATTTTGATGTGTGTTTCTACAATATATAGTCTAGACATAAATAGCAAAATTATAATATTCTTGTAAGAGAGCAAGTGGTAAGAGAACTAAAAACAATATATAGTCCAGACATAAACAGCAAAATTATAATATTCTTGTAAGAGAGCAAGTGGTAAGAGAACTAAAAGTATGCTAAAAAGGATGGAATTTACGCGCAAAGAATAAAAGAAGAAACTGTAGATGAATGTGGATATATGTAACGTGATTTTCTGAGGTATCAGAGCACCTTTAATCATGAAAGTAGTCTTCTCCTCCTTGAGCCCCACGGTGGTGACCTTTTTATGGTCTTACTTAATGATTGAGAAAAAAAAAAAAAAGAAAAGAAAAAAGAGCATTTCCAATCTCAGAGCTCCTAAAAGATATCATCAGTACTGGTCTTAGCAGCCCACGTAACAAAAGTGCTTCAAATTCAATAACTTCGACCGGAAAAATCACCTGTAAAAGTGTAACATTCCCACTATAGATATGCCCTTTTTCTCCAGTTTATGTAGCTTTTTGGGAAATGTTTACAATAAAAATAGATGGACTTTCATGCTGGTGGGGTTTGGTTTTTGGTGGGTTTGTGTATACAATGACCATAAAAGATGGTCCTCAACAGAGGAAAAAGGGCAGCCACTAGATCAGTCAATTGCATGCCCAGTCCTCAAAACATATCATCTTCCTCATCATTATCATGATCTCAGCAAAATTTAAAAAAATAAAATAAAATCATAGTACCCGAAGAGTGATGAACCAAGTGTTTCATGTGTAATTACCAAAAAAATAAAAAATAAAAAAGTGTTTCATGTGTCAAGAAAAAGACCAAATACCTACGATGATCTGCATTATTGTTATCTGACCACATGATTGTTGTACTTGGTACTTCTTTTCTTCCTTCCTGCGGCTATCAACTCGTCAGACCCACAGCTATTGAGTGCCATTGATGCCCAATATATCTTTTCAGTGCTACCGTGTTCACAACCCTTTTATCGGATTTTTTTTCCCCTTTTATTGGATTTAGGATTCTCACTTCTTTTTATCGTCGTTTGCTCTTTATCTTTTGGTCTACCTTCTTTATTTTCTGTCTGCATAGATTGGTTAGAGTTTATAATCATGATTATATAGAATGTCTTTTTTTTTTTTTTTTTTCTTACATGTAATTATTTTCTTAGTTATAATTTTGAATTAGTTTTTGCGTTAATTACTACAAGATCAATGGTTGTGGGTAGTCTTTAATCCCTAATTTAAGGGATTAGTTTGTGATCCTTTCCTATTTAAGAACCTAAGCTACGATGAAATTACGAAGCGTGGATGATTAATTTTGATATTTTGGTGTCTCGAGAGGTTTGGATACCCTCGAATGAACCTATTAATGGTGATGGAGGCTCCTTTAATGAACCTAATATCTACGTATTATTTGTGGCAGTTTTGTACGAGAGTAAGGATTGGAGATTTCCACTCACGGTTAATTATGATTAGTAGAAAGTTTAGCTCTTCTTATAGTAATCAATTAGTGATAAACTTTAATCCCACTTACTTAAAATGGAACTTGAAATATTCGCAAATATACTTATCATTTTGATGGATTTCTATTTTTAAAGTGTTAGGATTGGAAGCACTAAAGGATCAAAAATAGTTGGATTTAACATGTCGTTAGGTATGATTTGGAATTAATTAATAAAACATTGCCCAAGGATCACACATGTTAAAAAACACTATAACAATTAACAAGACTTTGATTTAATTTATACTACATACGCCCCGTGCATATATATATACGCACCACATATATACGTATCTAAATCCATTGTTTTCTTTGTTTTGGGGGAGGGCCCATGAGGAGAACAAGAAAAGATAAAAGTGAGAATTAAATGCTACTTGCAATTACAGCAATAACAAAGTAACGCAAGAAGCTCAAGAGAATTCCTGAATAAAATCAAAGCACAATGGAATAGTTACATTTTCTGGAAAAGCCTCTAAGCTTCACGTGATATTGATTAAACAATCATACAAAGATTCTTTTATTTACCTAAGACTGGAAGATATTGCAACACAATAACATTAATTCTTGAATATTGCAGTATTCTATTGTATATAATATATACCATTAACTCTTCTTCTGAACTCATCTCATGACGCATTTACATGGATACTCATGCATTAATTAATTTTATACACAGCAAAAAAAAAAAAAAGACAAACACAAACATCATGCAATTGATAAAAAATTAAAAGGAAAAAAAAAAGTAGTAAAGTACTACATGAAAATTTTTTGCCAAAACTCATATTAGCACTTGAGTTTGTGATCTTCGGCTCCGGCATTAATGGAGTTCTTGCAATGAGCAATGGCAGCTTGAATGGCGGCCTGCAACTCTTCCATGGTGCTATCACTAGCCGAAGAAGGAAGCGTCGCCGACGCGACAAGCAGTCCGCTGTTCGACGGCGACGTCCTCATCGACGCCGGCGCCGAGTACTCTCCTCTCCTCCTAAATTCTCTCAAATCTTTATTAGAACTACTACTATTGTTCCTCGAACTCAAAATACCAGAGAACGAATATGGCTGCCTACGTAAATGAAAGCTATTACTATTCGCTCTTCTTCCTCCAAAAAACAACAAAGGCCGTACCATTCTCATGTACCTTTTGAGGACGTGACTAACTTCAAATCTCAGCTTCCTCTTCGGCTTCTCTTTATTTCTGGTACTGTTATCTTCTCGTTCTCTGAACTCGTATCCTCTTCTCCATTTTCCCAACCCGAACAAAGAAAACGACGAGGATTTCGGCTTGTTTCTTGACGACCCTTTTGTTGTTGTGGGCTCTGCTTTTTGGCTAATAGTAGTAATAGTAGGAGAATTTTTGTGGTTGTTATCTGACTTGTTATCTTTGGTGGGTTTTTGCGCGTCGTCTGAAGATGATACGTCCTTTATGGGAAGAGTGAAGCTCTCGAGAGAGTTGGTCGAAGAGCGGGGAGAGACGGGGAGGTGAGAGAGGAGGTGGAGAGGAAGCAAATGGCCGTGGAAGAAGATGTCGTCTGCAGGGGACAAATCTATGGCGAATGAAGGAGGAGGTGTCATTTTGGATTTTTGGTTGGTGCTGGTGATTTTGCTGTCGTTTGTTGTTGTTTTTGTTGTTTTTGATGTGGGATTGGAAGAGTGGAGAGAGATTGTGAAGGAGAATTCGTGTGAAGGAGATGAGGAAGATGAAGGTGGCGAGGCAGGGGAAATTGTTACCTGTTGTTTTGAAGAAGAAGAAGAAGAAGAAGAAGATTGTGGTGGTGATTTCTGATCATCTTGATGATGAGCATCGCGAGGACCAATTTTGGTGTCCACAGATTTCTCTCTGCCTTGCTTTTGGTTGTGGTGGTGGTGACGATGATGAGCGTCCATAACTCAAGGGATCTGAATTTTCTTCTCACCTTTTCTTTAAGGAAAAAAAAAAAAAAAGTTTGGTTCTTTGGATACTAAAAAAAAGCCTATGGGGTAAAGATAAGGCGATTTGTGAAGCAGTGGAGAGAGAGGGAGAGGGTCTTGTCAGTCTGTAGTTGAGCTTGAAAATGTCTTTTGTGCAAAGAATGCGCCTAAACACACACCCAAAAAAAAAATTAATAATAAAAAAAAGGAATTATTAGTTGAAAAATGCTCAATTTGCATGCATTATTATGTTCTTATGTAAGAGTGGGGGAGGAAAATAAAAAATTAAAAGGGTTGTGGTGGGCAATGACTCCATTGGATTGAAGCGATAAATTTAGCTGTATCTATATAGGTTCGTGGGTCCCTGTCAAATCCAACAGCTATTGTAGGGAGTGATTTGGGAAAATGGGATCACAAGGATCCAAATTTACTTGTAAAAGGGCAGATGGGATTGGCGAGGCAAAGGCTTTTTTATTTTGGGTATGTGTCTTTGTATTGGAGTTGTTTCTTTTGGGCAAATGGGAAGTGTCCCCAATAGAAAAGGTCATGTTCACGTACACATAGAAAAATGCAAACCCCCCCCATATCTCAAGAGGAGGAATCTTTGAATTTATAACGAAAGTAATTATAAGCTCCTTTCGCTATTACTATGGTTTCCATTTGCACGCAACTACATTGGGAAATGTGTTTATTTAAATAAGTCCTCGTGTGGAGTATATATATATATATATATATATATATATGTGTGTGTGTGTATTAATTTTAGTGTGTTAAACGAGGTTGAACATGTTAAGAATATTGTTTTTTTTTTTTTTTTTAGTCCCGGGAGTTAGTAGATAAATAATTAGATAAGATTGATAAGCTTTATATGTGTCGTTAAAAGTCGCCCAACAGCTTGAAATTATGGTCTCAAAGTGCGGTTCTTTTTTCTCAATTTTCTCTCTTGAGAGAAGACTACATTAGATTTAGGCCCCATCAATAGTGGTTTTAAAATTCATCATTAACTTTTTTTACACGTGGCATGAACTCAAGTTGACACGTAACTATATCCATCTGAAAAAAAATTTAATGTCACATTATCCAAGTCATTAAGAGATTCATTAAAATTTTATGCTTCTTATTCTTCGCACGTTTTTCCATAATTTTTTTTTTTTTCAACTGCAATGACATTTGCGCGTCATGCACTGCCATTTTCTACACTCTTGACAAATCTCAAATTGGATGTAAAAGGCCACTTAAACTAGTGAGTTGAGATGATAGTATCCATCTCTTTCGCTCATAAAGTCAAACAACTCGAGTTTCGCCTTAAATAGTTTTAATAATAATAATAATAATAACAATAGTTCTTTCATTTTGGTCAAATATTTTTCATTCAATCGTTTGAACTCTCTGGTTCTAACTTCTAACTAAAATGAGACTACTTTGAATTAGTGTCAGTCTAATACAAGTAGGGACGAGGAGACTACTTTGAATATATGTAATGTATACACATGTAGTATGTACAGTTGTACACAGGATATATGGAAATACAATTTTCTTTTTTTTTTTTTTTTAAATAGAAAAGCATTCAGAAATACAATTAGTGTCATGTAACGTCTTAGAAATAATTAAAAGGAACCAATTCATTGGTAGGAGAAAAAGGGCCCATCACGATTTTTTGTCACAAAAGGCAATAAGGAACATAAGCCCTCAAGCGGGGCATGCAAGACACGTTGGGATTCATACGCAGCTGCGTACACTTCACCAATCAAACGTATCAATCAATTCAAGAGACATAACATAGCATAAAGGAAAGAAAATAATAATAATAATAATAAGCAAGCAAGCAAAACAGAGTTCAAATGAGGTCTACGACAGACAATGTGACTAAAACTTCAAGTTGGACTCTGAACATTCCTCAAAATTTTAATCAGACGGTGGTGAAAGGGGCCAAAAGACCCAAGAGATCATTTCATGGTATACATGTTTTTTTACAGTTAGGTGGGAGGTGGTGGGCCCACGCACACGTGTAGCGAGTGGTCCAGTCCAGCGTAGAGGAAATTTGTTCGTATGGTTGAGGTCAACATCTCAATCATGGTGGCATTATTGTGGTAGACTGAGTCATATCCTCACCACTTAAACCACTCAAAATTATATTAAAAAACTTGTGTGTTTTTTTTTCTTTTAATCTCCAAAAAGATAAGAAGAGAGAGAAACATACAAACAGTGCATAAAACAAAGATTTCGCACTCGGTCCTCAAAGTCCTCTGATCCCCTTTTAGGTCGGAAAGCTCTCTCTTTTTCTGCTTTTGCCACTGGCCACTCATAATTCTTTGTAATCTTATTCTTTCTTCAATGGAAAATACCCAGTCATGGCAATACAAGCCAAAAAAGCTAACGCGTCTCTCTCTCTCTTTCTCTGGGTATGTATGTGTTTGTCACCCTTGTTCTATGACTATCTATCCAGTTGTTACCATGTTCCTTGGCCCTCACTAGGTCAGCAAAGATAATCTCCGATAATTTGATCCACTTTAAGAAAATTGCCAAGCTTAGCTTTATGAAATAAAAAATTAAAATAGAGAACCATACTTTCCAAATACTTTGTATTCGTCCTAAAAGAATAGTTGTGATTTCATATGGTCATATTTGGACATATAACTTTTTTTTTGTTAAAAAAAAAAGGTACGAACCAAGACAATAGTACAAGTGAATTCCCTCTATATTTTTTTTTATAAAGGCTCGTGTGACCGATTTGTCATTTTTGTGTATAAAATGTACTTTACGTTCCTCGTCCTAAAGCTCTTGCGATCGATTTGTCATTTTTACGCATACTGTTTCTGTGCTTTATATTCCTCATCTTTGATTGATTTCCCCCTCTAAAGCATAATCTCGCTCTCTCTCTTTTTTTTTTTCAAGCTAGTTCATCGATGACAAACATTCCTCGATAAAATTATCAACAATCTTGTCACAGCTTTGAAACATAGTGGTCTAAAGTGGGGCCTAAACTTCAGTCATCAATGGTCATGACTCATGCATCCCCTCTCACAAGGAGCTTAATCTTTGTTCAAAATAGCAAGAAAGAGAGCTGTGCTGTTTTTTTTTTTTTTTTTTTTTTTTTTTTTTTTTTTCCCTTTTTTCTTTACACACATCAATCCTTTTCTCCTAGATATCAATGGATCCACATAAAATTCCATATATTAGAGAAGTCGCACTAATAAAACTTGCAGGTTCACATGTAACTCGGCTTATTACAAAACTACAGACAAGCGGTGTCTACGTCTTGCCCCCAAAAAGCCTGGTCCCAGTAATGTGATTGATGAGCACAGCCGTGCTGCAGGGTATTACCACTATTACCACGCCAAATCTAATCACACTAACTTGGCATCGCCGCTGATTAACAATTTTTATGGCTAGTAGATTAATGAAAATCATCAAGTGATGATGATGACGAACAGCTAAATCATAACTCAAACATTCCCTGAGATGTAAATAGTGTAATATAAAATGTTATTAAAGCAAAGGTAAAAAAGAGTATTTACAAAGAAATCTAGGCCCTTCCACGCAATGAACCGACTGTTGTATCAACACAGTCAAGGATAACTGTGAATCAAAAGTCTTTACTGAAAAAGGAGAAGGAAAAAAGAAAAAAGAAAAAAAAAGGCAAAAAGTGATTTAATTGCCTATTTAAAGCTTTTTTTTTTTTTTAAATAACATTCCTTTAAGGATAACAAATTCATACTGTTGAGCGGCACAAGCTTTTTCCTAATTTGCAATGGAAGTTTTATCAGGTCTCAAAGAACTCACTATATATAGTAACATTACATCCTAGATTACTTTCACTCAGTGTTAGCTCTATGAACTGGAACGGTGTGGATCCATAAAGAAAAATGATTACCTCCAACACGATATGCACAGGCAAGTTTTACCCAATCCTTCCACGACCCTTTTTCTCAGCAAAATTTTTTGCGCTGTTTTTCATCACTCTGAAGTCAGAACCAGAGATCCTCCTAAAAGCAAGTGGCAGCCTTAGCCAGGATCTACCGACTTGGAACATGAAAAGTTGACACAGATCCAAATGGGGCCCAAAGTAAAGATACGGAATGTCATAATGGACCTAAATACTGAACATTCCCCACAAGGAAACTTATGTGGTGAAAAAGCTCTGGCTTCCCAATTGTGATCAACATCCAAATAATTGTTAATGCTCTCAAAACGCAAAAATAGCCGAGGGTTGGCTAGTCACTTCCACTACTATACCTATCTGAAACCAATAGAACAACGACGATTAATTTGGAGTTGTAAGGTGGAACATAAGAACTGAACAAAGAGAGAGATCATTAAATACCTCCCGATTGTCTCTTCCCTTCCATGGCCTCTTTCTTCTCTTGGCAACTTAAGCAAAGGAAGGGACCATCCCAAGGGCGCAATTTTCCAGGATGAGATGAGCCAGCATGTATCGAAATACCCTCTCCTGGTTTCATTTCTACTTGACAAACAGCACACATAAACAGCCTAAACATGTTGCAAAGTGGATATTTCGTGTCCAACCTGCATTCAACACAAGCATATCAAAATACTAAACCTGCACTTGCACTCCCTGTTCATAATTTACACCCCAAAAGTGAAACACAAAGAAAGAAGAAAAGACAAAAGGGCAAAGGAAAGCTGAAGAAAGGAAACAGACCATTAACTTTTTTTCATGGCATACGCATCAAATTCAAAAAAAAAAATTATATTGGTAAATGATTTTTCTTTTTTTCTTTTTTATTTTTTTCAGCACAAACCTTTCTGAAAGCATAGCAGATCCCTCCTCAAATAGTTCCTCCACCATGTCTGGCTCTATGTACTCTTTATCAATATAAGAAGATGATTCATTTGACTTTTTGCGGAACATGGACTTAAATACTCCTTTACCCTGCTTCTTAGGTGGGGGCAAAGGAGCAGGTGGCTTCTCCTGAGGCAATATATCAATAACAATACAGGTTGTGTCATCTCGAAGTCCCTTTGCCTGTAAAGCCTCCTGGAAAAGGAATATAACAATAAGAGACAGTGCATAACAAATACCACGCGCTAAATGTAAAAGAATTCACAGTACCACAATGGCGGCGCGACGTCTAAGAGCATAATGTTCCAGTATACACATCCACAAGAAAAGCGATAAATTTTATTTCTAGATATACCTTCACGATTTGTGCAGCTGCAGCTTCTGCTGGCATCCCACGGCAACAATCAAGAGCAGCTTCTGCACTTAAAGCATCCCATACACCGTCACTTGAGATGATAAGCCTGCCACCAGCAGTAGACAGCTGTGTGCAGTTGAAAATGGTAAGCTTCTAATCTTCGGAAGAATAACAGAAAATTTCATAATGGCTAATACCTTGACAAATAAAAGACCACTAAAGAAAAATTGACAATTTGAAAAGGAGAAAGTAAACAATCTGAACCACACTGTTCTTGTTTTATATATAATACGGATACTGTGTCCAGTTTCACAAAAGCATAATTGCATCTCGAGCAATCTTAGAGTTGGAAAAACACAATAAAAAAGCTGGTGCAATACAAATTTGTGGCAAAGGTGTTAAGGGAATAAACCACTAGGATAGAAGTTATCTTGGTTTCTTACTACATTAATCAGTGTAAAAGGTAACACATTCTAACATGATATATTGATTATAATAACTATTAAAATAACTTTACATAGCTCACAGGAACACCAGGAAAAGGAAAAGGTAGAAAAACGATAGTGCAGGTAATTCGAGGCACATTAAAGGAAGTTAACAAACCTTCACTTGCTTAACATAAGGAACAGGAACAATGTACTCGCCAACATCCCTATCCCCAATAGATCGTGAAAGACACAAGCCACCAGGCCAACACCTCAAAGGACCAATCTACAAAAGAAACCCAAAAAAAATTATGATTACAAAACTCGTGTACATAGAGACAATCTAATTGGATTTTTAAAAAGAAAAAAGAAAAATAAAAAGAAAAAGAAAAAAGCCACAAGAAATCAAAAATCAGAAACCAACACATGTGACCTAAGCAGAAATTTAGAGAAAATTTGTTTCCTTAGTTGAATTCTATTCTCCAGCATTATCCTACAACACACTTCATTCAGAACCCAAAAGATATGATCCTTGAGCACACTTGCATTCCATCTTCCAGCTAGTGAAATGATGGGCATCATAAGTTCCAACGCTAGATTGCATGAAACAGTTTCATGCATTCATAAGAATATTACTAGATATGAGGTTCAAACATGAAAAAAGTACAAGCTTGGAACAAGATGGATTAATTGGAATGATGAATATTTAGAAACAACCAAAACAGAAAATTTAAAAAGGAGAGAGAGAGAGAGAGGGAGGGAGATAGAGGAGAATATACCTCGGCACCTCCACCAGTATTAAGTCGACCCACCTCGCCTCCGCTTGCTGTGATACGCAACCTCCTATCAAAATACAAAAGAGGGAACCTTAGTACAAAAACTGATTGTTAACTGAAGCCCCAGATAAATTATGCTTATAACTTACTCTTCTTCATTGCTATCAAGCCTATGATCTGCGGATAAGTAATATATGCCACCTTCAGCTGCTTCAAGTATACACCGGGAATCACCAACCGATGCAACAGTAATGACCCATCCTTCAATAATCACAAAGGTGACAGTCGTTCCTGACATTTGTGCTGAAAGTTTGACCACAAACATGTATAAATTTCACGCATACAGAAAAACGGAATCGAGATAATAAGAGTTTTAAGTGCACAACAACATAACAATCTTTTGAAAATTGAGAAAGAAAATGAAATTAACCATACCTCTCTCTTGAAAATCTTTGTCTGTCTTGACAAAGCCGGCAACCAAAGCCCTTGGCAAGGCTGCAATCCATTCATCTCTATTAAGATCTGAAGGGATAGCGCTTAATATGTTACTAAGGAGGTTCTCCTTCGAGTAAATAGCAGCTGCAGATCCATTGTGTCCATCAAATAACTGTAACAAACAACAGCTTTTAAGCTATAAAGTATGAACAAATCCACTTCTGGTTTCAGACAGACATACACAACAACGCTTCAGCAATAGTTTTCATAGTCTTAATGAAGTTGGAACTGATAAAAAAGTATAAACAGATAAAAGATAAGGCCAAAACAAGAAAGAAAAGAAAAGAAGTCAACTAATAAATGGACTAAAAACAGTTTCGACAAATCTCATATGGTGCAATCCTAAAAAATCCTTCCGTTGGTTTTAGAATTATAGCCACTAAAAATGAAGTAAAATAGGTCCAGGCATGATTCTATCAAAGCTGGGGAAATTACTTGACCCGTGTCTGAAATTCAGTCATAAATCTCACCTTTTCCACACTAGACTAGTCTAACGTATCAGCTATCAACTGAATAATATAAAACATACAAGTCATTAGGCAATAAGCGCCTTACATCTCCCAACTACGACTAATCGGTAATTACTACTTTCCACAACTAAACATCTAAAGAAAACAATTTGTTGTCGCTTCACAATTTGTTGTCGCTTCCTGTATTAACCCCTGATATACTCAACATATAACACAGAAGCACCAGAAATGTCGAATCATCACGAATGTCTTGAGTTTTACATTATTCAAATTTCCAAACATCATTAAAAGCTCCAAACGTGGTGACTAGTGAACTAGTTTGATCGTGGAAAAAGATACCAAGTCAACCATGTAGAAAATCTAAAATATAATTGGAATCTACTCACCGCATCAATTGTCATGTCAAGAAACATAGTATTCAGAAACCATGATCTATCTTTATAAGGAATAAGAAATGCGGCAAATGTAAATCGTTCGCCCAAAAAAAAAAAAAAGAGCATACCCCGAAAACCGAATAGGTAGAAACACCATCTCCAACCATCCTTTGACATTCAGTCTTTAACAGAGTAAAATCCTCCCCTTTCTTGCTCTGACTGGCCTGACCGTGAACAATTTCCGGTCTCTCAATCTTCTCATTGGCTAATTCTCGCTTCAGCAGCACCGAAAGTGGGACCGTGTGATGTTCACTCCTCGCGGACATTGTTCGCTTCTTTTGTCACCCGAAAAACTCCAACGCAGCTTCCCAAGAAACAACGCTATGGCCTCTAAGCCTCCATTAGCTAATTGAACCCGAAAACCTGCGATACTACGAAACAACATTCCCTCGATTAGTAAACAGGCACATAGGAATCAATCGTTTTGATGATAAATCGACCATTATTAGGACGAAATAAACAAGATCTTCGAACAAAATGGCAATCAACAAATACGAACAATGAGATTGCTATAAGCAGAAATTACGCATCCACAAACAAACAAAAACTCCGAATTAGAGTAAAATTAGCAATCGCAGATTGATATGGTTGGGAAAGAATCTCGCAACGAAATCGCCAAATCTCGAAACCATTGCAGAATGAACGTCAATGTGAATACAATTCAAGTCCAAAACTTCTGATTACGAGACCAAATTCAGAGGAATTCTGAGGTATAATCGAAAAGGAAAAGGAGAGAAAAATTACAGGAAAAGATAATGTCAACAATGGAGATTACGCGCAAAGAATGAGTGATGCGAATTGGATTCTACGCTATGATCGATAAACGCGGATCCCGGCGCTCTGCAGAAATTCCATTGTTCATAGGAAAACTATAAAGAGAGACCGAAAAAAGAAAAGGAAGAAACAAATAAATGAAACCGCAAAAAAAGCTGTAAACTTCTGTTCATTTTTTTTTCCTCTTCCCCATTCTCTTTCTTTTTTATATTTTTCCTTCCCCTTTTTAACGCTTTCTCTTATGCGCTGACGTGGCACCGTTCCGTTCCTGTGGTTCGGCGCTCCAAGCCGCTCCTTTGAGGCTTAGCCGCTTGCGGCGCTTTGTCAGACGTATCCGTGATCACGCATCATTAGCCTTTTTCTTGTAGATCTCATCTGAGCGGGCCCCAAAAAAGGAGGGCCCCGCAAAACAAATACAATAAAGGAATCGAATTGGCCGACCAGTGATTGGGACAAAATTGCTTGGACGGAATTATCAAAAAAATAAATAAATAAATTTTGCTTGGACTGGGTTTTCGGATTTGTTTTTCTTTCTTCAATAAATAAATGTCTTAATATCTTACTTAAAAATAAATGAATAGACAAATAAGTGATTAATTTTATGAATGTCTCAAAACTATGAATTCTAGTTCGACATATCCTGAACTTTAAAAATATTTCATTTCACCCCTAAGCAGTGTAAAATCATGTAAAACACCCATTTCTATCTAAATCAATATGTGTTATTAATGGAAGATGACATTACACTAACTATAATTTCATTATGTCTCCTGAAATATATTGATTTTTAATTTAACTTGTCTATAAAACTATTAATTTTATGTTTTTGCACCATAAACTTTGAAAAAGTCAAAAGGACAATATTTGACATAAATTTAATAGTTCATGAAGCATTTATAAAAGTTTTATAGTTTTATGGAGTGAAATGAAATATAAACGCATATTAAGTAAGGTGCATAGTTAAAAGAACATTGTTCTCATAAAGGTAAAAATCGTGTAAATGGTCCCTGAATTTTATTGTCAGTACTCAGTAGAGTGTTATTTTGTGTTTTTTGCGTCATAATAACATACATATTTTGTATTCCATCAGCATCATGTGCATATTCTATCTTCTCTTTAACATTTAATTGGTGAAAATGGTTAAAATTGAAACAAATTGAAAAATAAATAGTGCATTTGGAATTCATTTTAAAATGATTTTATTTTTGTATGAAAATGAAAATGAAAATGTTTTCAATCTCAGACAGAAATCACTTTTGAAAATGTGTTTGGTAGTTTTATCAAGAAATTGTTTTCAGTATAAAAAATCCATTAATGTCTCTTTCTACTCGAGATATGAGAAAATAGAAACAAAAAATGAAAAATGACTAAAAATTATTTTTTCTCTCTCATTTTATACTAAATCAAAAAATCATTTTTATTTCTATTTTTTGTATTTAATTATGTCAAACGTCATTTCTCTCCCGTTTTTATGTTTTTCTTTCTCAAAAAACGTAAAAAAACAAAAATAAAAATAACGTCAAACACAGCCAAAAGTTAAGTTCAGGATGTTTTAAAAGTTAAGGGGGAGGTTGAGTATAAATTTTGGGAATTATTTTTTAAATTAACCCTTCTTATAAAATTATATTATATCCATAAATAAGCGTGTATAAATCGTGCTGGCCACCGGTTAAAGTAACGAGGCCGGGGAGCGTAATGCAGGTCAAGGGACTGAGTCATATTCAACCCCCAGCAAGACGTGGAAGGAAGCAAGTATCAAAGACTTTCTTCATAAAATTGTCTCTTTTACTTGTCCTAACAAATATAAACAACACATAACTTCCATTTTACGTGTCTTAATATTTAGGGTTATTTACATAAATGTTTATTATGAACGCTTGGATTTAAAAAATGCCTACTTTTTTTATTTACAAAAATCTCTACTATCCTGTAGACAAAGACTTTTATATCCTCCTATAATGAAAAAATAAATAAATAAATAAATAAGTAAACATCATAATAATAGGCAAGAAACAGAAACAAAATCTTAAAATAAATCAATGACAAATTAAAACACAGGAATCAACGTCCGTATACAAGGATTTTAATATGCATTTAATCAGAAGCCAAAAAATATGCATTTAAGGAAATGTAAATGTTCTAAGGGAAGGGAAACTTTCTTTATTGCAAAAATTAAAAAAAAAAATAGAAAACCCACGAAAGGTTTTTAAAAACCGATGGCTCTTTCAAATTAACAAAAAAAATTATGAAAATGAATAACAAATTTAAATTAGAGTATATATGATACAAGAATAGACATTATCACTATTTTTACAATAAAATCATTATCAAACAAAATATATAACAAATCATTATGAGACAGAATATATGATTAAAAAAAACATGAAAAAACTTTTCATTAGTTTAATCGTGATATCATTAAAAAACACACTGAAAAAATACAATATGTATCAAACAATATTTGACATACATGAAAACATAAACACATGCGAAATTGTTTCATTAATGCAATGATCCAAAAATTACGAAAAATAATGAATATGAAAAATGAATGAATCAGACAAAAAAACATATGTAATTATAACCGGACAAATAAATAAAAAGATTCTTAAGTATAAAGGACATCATTATGAAAATAAATACCAAATTACATATCAAACACATGAATATACATGATATAAAGAATAGATATTTTCATTACTTTAACGATGAGATCATTATCAAACTGAACATATAACAAATCAATATGACGCAGAATATATGATACAAAAGAACACGAAAAAAAATTTCATTAGTTTAATCGTGAATTCATTAGGAAACACACTGAAAAAAAAAAAACAATATGTATCAAACAATCAACATACACGAAAACATAAACACATGCGAATTATTTCATTAAAGCAATGAAAAAAGAATGAAAATGAAATATGAATGACTCAGACAAAAAAAAAAAAAAACACCAAAACAAAACGTAATTATAACCTGCCAAATAAACACAAAGATTTTTATGTATAAAGGACATCATTATGGAAATGTTACAAAGAATATATATTTTCATTGTTTTAACGATGAGAACGTTATCAAACATAACATATAACAAATTATTATGACACACGGCAATATATCAAAACAAAAAATGAATAACAAAAATAGATTACATATGAAACACGAAAATATACCAAAATAAAAAATTATTTTTATTAATTTAATCATAAAATCATTATGATATAGAATGTCTAACTAATAATTATAACACAGAAAAAATGATACAAAAGAACAAAAATAAAAATATAAGATAAATGGTTTCATTAATGTAATGATATGGATATACAAAAAAAGAATAAATAGAAAGTTTAAAACGACTCTGACAAACAAAACAAAACCTAATTTTTTTGAAAGAGAAAATACAAAAATGTACAAAAAAAAACACATATTCACTAAAATAATGATCATATTCTGGTTTAAAAAGGAAAGATATATCTAAATTATAATGATAAAAATCAGAGTGCAAAATACGAAACTAATACTAAAAAAAGGCAATTCTCGGGAAAAAAAAGCCTTATAAAATTGAAATCGGTAAATTATAATATTGTATAATAGTCAATATTTTTACAAATACAGCTTCAAAACTAAACATTTTACGTAATTATTTATAAAATTTAGGATAAGGATTGTGATATGTTTTTTTTTTTTGTTAATAGGATTACGTTATGTATTACAAGTCGTGTTAACGCACTTAGATTCAGTTTAGAATTCGAGTTTTGTTATAATAAAAAACTCTCAGAAACAGTCACATTTAACTCTTTTATTATAGTAAAAAGTTATCACATAAAGTCACATCTCAACTCTAATTAAAAATTTAAATCATCGAACTAAACGGTAGTATTTCTTTTCCTTTTTGTTCATGTGGTCATTATTGTGTTATATGATTTTTTTATATGTTACAATAAGATCTATTACATATCTATTTAAATAATACGTTGATGATGCGTTTATACGAAGAGAATGAGAAACACTTCGGTTACATATTAATTTATAATCAAACGTGTCTAATTTTAAATGACTTATTTAACAATTTACTTAAACGAGCAAAAACTTCAATTGTAATCCAAAAGCTGCATAAAATACTCAATTATAAATCCGTTACTTCAGTTCGGTCTTAAATACTTCTCTGATTTATAAGAAAGAGCCAAAGAGGTAAATGAAATGAATATTTTTAGCTAGTTATTGTTTTGGATAGCCAGCTGGCTTCTGTATATGTTCAAGTTATAGTTATAAGATATTTAATTTGTAGCCCTTCTGACAATCAGATTGAGATGTACTCCAAGCTAAGGGTCAGAAGAAATATAATAAATAATAATCCTTTGCGTTTTTTATACTTTTCTTTTTTTTGGTGAAATAAGCTTGCGTTTTTTCTACTTGTTGGAAAGATGATAAATGATAATACTTCTTTTTTTCCTTTAGGCTGAATAATAAAGGTCTCATTCATTTCACCGATTTGAGTTTTTAGTTTTAAATTTTTATAGTAAAAAATTTTAAAAAAATGTCACATATAATATTTTCTGTTACAGTGAAAAACTCTCAAAAAATATTACATCTCAACTCGAATTAAAAATTAGGGTCCGTTCACTTCGCTGATTCGAGTTTATAATTCGAGTTGATATGTGATTTTGTGTGAGAGCTTTTTACTGTAGTAAAAAAGTTAGATGTGACTGTTTCTGAGAACTTTTTACTGTAATAAAACTCAAATTTTAAATTCGAATCGGCGAAATGAACGGAGCCTAATCCGTGAAGTGAACGATACCAAAGTCTCGTTAATGTGACGTCGTTGGGAGATTGATGATGTGTAGGCCTATGGGCCTAGGCCCACTTATCCTGGACAGTCGATACAACCTTTTTGAGAAAATTAATGTTTGTTTATAGGATTTAAATGTGATTTTAAATCATAATTTTTTATTTTTCTCTCATAACAAATTAAAATTATAAACTATAATTTTAAATTTATAAATTAAATATTTTGTACATGATTTACTTATGAGTCTTGATTTTTATCTTTTATTCTTAATAAATATCATTTTATTAATAAATTAAATAACTAAAAAAATTATAAATAAAAAATAAAAAAATAAAAATTCTTACTCAATATTTAAAAATATTTGTCAAAATTACATTACTTTTTTCGTACAACCTAATCCTTTGACTTCCACTTGGAAGTCCCGAAATTCTCGGCGCCAGTTATCTGTAACTTGAGCAACCCATCCAAACGCGGCTCAAGCGCGTGACAACCACTCCAAGTCAAGAAACATAAGTCATCTTCAATGCACTGCAATTTTTAATTTCTTTTTTTTTCCATATTTAAGATAATAAAATGTATATATTAATATAACGGTTGACGAAAAAACCTTTGAAAATAGCATATTTAATCTATTTAATTTTTATTATAATTAATAATGTTATTTCAAATGGTCATTCATGAGTTTTATGCTTCTTATAAAATTTTAAGCCTTTAAAAGAGGAATAGACTTTTATTAGATATAAACTAATATATCAACCATTACAGAGAATTTAATTAGAAAATTCTCAAGGCAATCCTCACTTCAAGAAAAAGAGAATTGTGCTACTGAGGGAGTAGCCACATTAGAATTTTTTTTGGGTAAGAATTTGGGTAAAGGGATTGGAATCTGCAACAAACCATCTTTGAGAGTGATTTTTGATTTGCTGTCCAACACGGTTCATGTAGACGCGCGTGGGAAAAGAATCCACGAGGAGTAGTCGTTACGGGCAAAACTCCGCGTAAACTTAAGTCAATCAATCAATGTCCGCATAAAATCGCCTGTAAGATCATCCATTACAAAACATCGGCTCATTTTGTCAGAAAACTCAATCGGCTTAACTAAATGGCTCACCCGCTGGTGTTCTTGCCTTTGTGGGCCCCGCAAAACTCTTTCAAACTGATCACAGAAAGCCTTAAAAGGCAGCTTTCACAGGAAGGAAAAATAAAATAAAACTATATAAAAAATGACATTTTTCAATACCGTGTATAAAATTTTATATTTTTTATATATTTATATAAAATCACATAAAAATAAAAAATATATAAATTTAACAGTTAGAAAAACTTAATTTATTAATATCATATGTATTAGAGAATTTATTTAAAAAATATATTAGAGGATATTTAATTTATGTATTCAAAATCATAATTTAAAATTATTTTTATTTTATGTGTATTTTTTATAAAAAAAAATATTATAAAAAATTATGAATCATGATTTAAAATATAGAAAAAAAGTATTGTCTAATCTAGTCGCTGCGTAGACAAGCAGAGCTCATCCATGTTCCGTGGTAAGCATGTTCCCATTACTTTTGCCCTTGCAAGCTGGAAAATCTCCAGCTAGTCAAGGAAATGCCCTGTCAAGTATCAACAACTTGTTGCCCATTTTCGTTCAACAAATAATTTAACATTAAAAATAAACTAAATAAATAACGAAATAAATAAAAAAAACCATTACCACCTCTAACAATTAACTAACCACTAGTATAACAACATCCCACCCGTTTAACTTTACCAAAGAGTTTGGTAACTTTAACGGTCCGTTTAATTCGTTGATTTAAATTTTTAATTCGAGTTGAGATGTAATGTTATATGAAAATTTTTTACTGTAGTAAAAAAGTTAAATGTGACTGTTTTTTAGAGTTTTTTACTGTAATAAAACTCGAATCGGTAAAATGAACGGAGCCTAAAATTACCTGAAGATTATTTTTCTTTAACAAAAAAAAAAAAGAAACAGAAAACAATATAATGGAAAAAGAAGATGAGTAAATACCGAGTAGTTACTTAAATTCTTTATTTTAAAAATCCAGTTTGACAATTAATTAGTTTATGTTTGATATATGGATTATGCTACAGTATAAACTCATAGTTTTAGTCCTATTACAGTTTTTTTCACAAAATATTTGAATTAAAAAGGTTATAATAAAAAACTATATTTTGAACCATAGTTTGAACCCGTATACCAGACAGTCCTTACTTTTTTTGTTCCTATTCGTTGGTTATTATATAGATCCAGATCTTATGTTTAATTTTTTGTGTCTTAAATGGTATCTAATCAATGAAATCACACTACATCATCCTATAATAAACATAAAAGAATTAGTTAAAAGCAATTTATATTTCTTACACGACATGACGTGATATGATTAGTTAGACATTAATTGAACACCAAAATTAAGCAGAGATCTGAGTCCAAGAGAGTTTTTATGGTTTGATTTCATTAATTATCACCGTGAACATTATTATAAAGTTACAATCTTTATGATAATTACTATATATAATATACAAAACAATTGTTGACTTTTACAACTTTCCATACCGTAAATTTCTAATATTTATACACCCGTTATCAGGTGTATTTTTGTGCCATAATATATATCATTTGAGATAGTTTTAATAATAAGATGAAATTAAATATCATTTTTCAAGTGAAAGAACATATATGATTTTAGTCGTTCAACTATAAAATTTAATAGAGGATTATTTGTGGCTGGTTTGAGGCTCTGAAACGCACATGGGTTCTGAGTTGTTCCACTATGCTACCAGGTTAACTGCTTGCATTTTCGTCAAAGATTCATCCCATCTAACACATATTCAATTCAATGCCTCCTTACATTCTAAACAGCATGAACTAAGTTTTCTTCCTTGATGAAGACCAAAAGAAAATAATTATACAAACAATGAAATAAATAAATAAATAAAGGGAGAAGAAGAAAAGATAATAAAGAAAACTCAAGTATAATTGGTGAATGGATCACCTTGAAATTCACATTTACTAAAGGATGTCTTTTAGGGAACTCCAGTGTTTATCCATTAAGGATTGTCATGTGCAAAATAAGCTTTTAAAACTACAACTTTACAGTAAAGCCTGACTGGGAAATTCCGTTAGAACAAAAGGATTAAAATTAAAGGGGTGTTTCCCTTGGAACCGACAATCCTCATGGCAAAATAGACAAGCTATCATTTTTTTCACCTGCATCACAGGAAAAACGTTGCATGTGATGAGACTTCAAACACATATAATATTTAAAAAAGAAAATGAAAGAGAAAAAGCTCTGATGTTTGAAGTAAAACAACGTGAAATCAGTGTATCAATACTGAAAGAGAAATGAGACACATTTGTGCAAAAATCTCATAAGTCTACAGGAATTTTGGAATAGTTAAGGAGGCTACACAAATGCAATACATTATAGCATGAAAACTTTTGTTGAGGCGGCTATAGCGCACTTGCATCCCAGCATGGCTAGTGAAGCATACGTGTGTGTATATATACATACATACATATATATATATATATATATATATATAAACAGTGGAATGTACGTGGCGCAACCTTGCGTGTGATCAGTGTATTTATGAAAGTAACGTCAAACAATGATGTGTTTAGCGACTACCTTCTACTTTTGCTACCGTGAGGTATGTGATCATGGAATAATACTTTGATCTTTTCTGCTTTTACTTGAAAAGTGAACATCCTTTTTAAAGGGGTTAATAATTTGTGCATAATCATAAGCTCATACTACACACATATTGTGGTCTATACAGTATATTCATTACTCTCATTAGCGTTCAACAACCTTCGCTGAGCACTTTAAAGATCAAGGCTTAATTTTCCTCGAAAATTTCTAGAAAGTTTAAAAACTTGAAAAATAAAAAAGAGGATTATACGCAAAAACAAGTGCTAGGACAAGTGGCTAAGACTTCAAGAGCTATTTGTTCCCTATTTGCATCAAACATGGGAACCCACATTTCAATGTTTGTCTAACATCATGTCTAGAAAATTTTGTGCGCTCACCATTTCTATCAAGTCATTCAAAATCACACGGCGGAAAATTTCATAACCTTGGATGACAATGCTAACAAAAATTTCAGAGCGACAATTAATAGAAACAAAGAGAATTACCTAAATTGATTAAGATGACTCAACATCCAAGAGCAAAACATTGAAGCTTGTATCCCTACTTGGAAGTATCCGCCCTAAAAATGAAAACCTGGCACGAGAAAACAAGTAAATACACGACAACAATTACAATAACACATTCATGCACACAGAATATTGCATCATGGTTGATTAACCTGTCAAGCATATTTGGAGATAAAGATTTAGGGCCCGTTTGTTGCATATACTCGAGCTCAAATCATTGATTACAGTGTTTTCCTCTTACAAAAAATTTGAATTTTAAACGTCAGAATTAAGAATCATGGTTTGAGTATACCTTCCAAACGAGCCCTTAAGGACTTTGAAAAGAAACAATAACTCCAAATCCAAAAGAAGTTTTCAAAGTCACAATGTTTCAATCACCTTGAATGCAGATGGCCGGATTAATTGGAAAATTAATGCATCACCATCCCCCAATTTATGAGCAACTGAAAATCCTTTCCACCCACCACTTAGCCCGGTTTTCCGGGCCAAGTATATGGTTTCATATTCCTCGCCCTCCTCATCTATTAATGTCATAACTTCATCACGCCTTAGAAGGTTCGTTTTGCAGAAATGAACAGGAAGGCCCTGTTTTCACAAAAATAATAGATAAATGTCTCTCTCCAAAACCATGACAAAAATAACCTATAATGGAGAAAATAAACAGTGTGCTAATCAGAGGGGACTTAAAGAAAAAACGTTTCGTGGACCAGCTACAAATTCTTGATTCCAGTTATCAAGTTCAAGTAAAAAATGCTTTGTGAAAGATAAAACCAATCAATGGCTTTTTGCAACCAAACTTCATTTTCACAAATTCTACATGTACAGGTACTCATCATATTCAAATATTAATATTATTACTAAACATGTATCCAAATTTAAAAAATACTAAATCCAACTTGGTATATTTTTCACAATTTTTTTCAATAAATGAAAAGTGTGGAAAGGGGCAACAAGCTGTAGCTACTCTTGTCAATAGTCTCAAGCACTTCTTAACAGACTAGAACTTGATAAAACCACATATAATCTGGCAATTATTTGCCCTATCTCAATGGCAGTGAAAGACAAGAAATAAATTATTTGTCTCAAAACACAAACACATACCTCATCACAAGACCCTCTAACTACCCAAGACGTCATCAAACTCATATCATCAGTATTATCCAAGCAAAATGACGAAACACAGAGGGAACAAAAAGTTTAACGTTGTGAGCACATAAAAACAAAAATTGCGTACCAGCCAGAAACCGCCGCTCACATGGGATTGGAGCATTGTTTTGATAAAGTTGGGATATTCGGGTTCCAAACCAGACACTGCTTTCTCTGCCCTTTCTATTGCTTCGGCCCTAGCTTCCTCCGAAGCATATACCCGGTTTGACAAATCCCTGGGCTTTCCAATACACCTTCTAGGTATCACCACGCGATCAAATACGACCTGCAAAAAGAGGAAATATCATTGTCGTAAAATGAAAAAGTTGTCGTGATTTGAGAATCCAATGCGCGCGAGAGATTAGGACTCACTTCCTTGTAAACAGGGGTGGGCTTGTTGGCGACACGACCGGACCTCCTGACAGCGACCACTTCCTTTTCTGGCGTACGAGGTTTCTTCACTCTTTTGATCTGCGGAATTGTCAAAAAGAAGAAGAAAGTGAGCTCTTTTAGTGTTGTTAGAGAGAGAGAATGTGTGTGTGAGAGAGAGAGAGAGAGAGAATGTGTGTGTGTGTGTGTGTGTGTGAGAGAGAGAGAGAGAGAGAATGTGTGTGTGTGTGTGTGTGTGTGAGAGAGAGAGAGAGAGAGAGAGAGAGAGAGAGAGAGAATGTGTAGTTTTTGGAATTGGGTTTTACAGGGGAGGGCTTCAAAGGGGAAGAGTTTCGAAGAGCTTGAGCGAGATTTGGGAGATTTAAGGCTTCCAGTCGGTTCTTGTTTTCTTCCAATCTTCTCAGACGGATTTCCTCGTATGATGATACCTTACGCTTAGCCGCTACCATTTTTTTTCTTTTTCTTTTTCTTGTAAACCAAACAGAAATTTCTTTCTTTGCTTGGTAGTGATTGTGGTTTTGCTTGCTTGCGAGTTGCGAGAGCAGAGACGGGATTAAAGGGAAAAAAGAAGCTCAAATTTCAAACGCTGGGTAAGTCGACCGTTAGCTTCCCACTTTACTGAAAGACGCATTTACTCAAAAAAATAAATAAATAAAAAGCCACTTTAATGGGTAGTTAGAATCCGATCGGCTCCTACAACCAAAGCACACATTTTCATTTTTAGACCAACCAAAGTGCACATTTTCATCTTATTTCAAATATATGTACATAAATACATACATTTTCCCCGTAAAAAGAAAATGGCAATGAGAGGATGTTTGGTAAAGGAATTCGTTCTCTGATTCGAATCATGATTCGTAGTTCGCTAACATATTTTCTCTCATAAAAATAGTTCGAATCACATGGTTTGAATCATCCAACTAAATGTCTTCTAAAATTATCTGTCAGGCTACTTTAGGGAAATTAATGATAATTTTTCATGCCATAACCGTAGTAACTAGTACGGTCACAGGGTTAATGTTATTTAGACAGAATGTTGTTGAAATGTCACAATAAAACAACATCACTCAAAAAACAAAAAACAAAAAATAGTGAGAGCGGCAAGGACGCATTCAGCAAGGCTTGGCTTTTTTCATCAGTAACTTATCAATCCCAAGTTCTTCAGCCAGGGTAGGACCTCTTCTAATCCTTCCTTCAGACTTCTGGGTTTATAATCCAGCTCTACTTTCGCCTTCTCACACGAATATGCCCACTGATGTCTTAAAACATACACCGTCTGCTCCAACATTGACCCAAAAGGAAATAGTAAGCCATCAGTATATGAACAAAAGAAAGAAAACAAGGAAAGCAAATCCAGTTTCTTTCCGAGGAAGAACAAACAGTGCATGAACTTCTAAAGGCGGACGTAAGTAACTCTTAATCAATATCTGATCTAATGCCAATATTGAATAACAACTCTACTAGGCAATTCTCAAAATGCTGTGCCATGTAAAGAGCAGAACACAGTTGCAAAACTACAAAGCATACCGGGGGGCTGATCAGAGGTAGCTTTCCAAAAATCCGTGAGAAAATAACTGAAACCCATCCGTACGCCTCAATCAACCAGAGGGGGATGTTAAATGCAGGCCTCTTTGTTTCGGTGATGATAGCAGCTATATCAAAAACATGCTTGAACGACGCATTTTCTCCGGTTAGTAGATATCTCTCACCTGCTTGACCTTTGTTCATTGCTGCAATGTGTCCTTCCACAACATCGTCTATATGGCAAAAGGAATATTTATCAAGTCCGCGGCCTATATAACCAGGTAGCCGCCCATTAAAGCGTTCGATAATCTGGAAGAAAACAAAATCCTTTAATCTATTAGTAAGACAACTAGTGGCCATGGATCATTTTGGTATATCTACAATCATAGCGAGAACTTCTCACTTGGAGAAAACCAATATTGAAAGATATTCTGTTCAAGACGGACGCCTAACCATCTAAATTTGTCCCTTCATAGTCATAGCTGTTATGTAATGGAGTCACAGCATTCACTAATGAGTTGTGTAAACAGAAAATATAAGTCAAAACATATCAACCAGCCCTCAGATGGTAAACATAAAGGGGAGATTCTACAACGTGGTGCCCCTACTTTAGGGGCGATTCCCATCATACAATTTAAGTCATATGGTCTCTATGAAGTAGGTGTAAGAATTCTCTCAAAGTATCCAACTCCATATAATATGCATCGTTCGATTTAAATCTTACGACCACAATCAATTGCGCTATTGAACATGTAAGTGGGGGATCTTACTGTAGAATCGCCCAACATAATGGATTAAAGAGAACGTGTGTCTTTATGAAGACCGTGGTTCATACTAGAAACCACCTATCAAGACCATGGTTCATACTAGATACCACCTCATTAGTCTCGGTACTAGTCTTGTCTATTTGCAATATCACAAATTTAATGATCTCGTTCCATTAACGAATTGATTTTTTGACGTTTCAAGACCAAAAAGGAGCAATTATCAAGACATCTAGATTGAATTGACCCCTTCGTTCAACAGGCAACCAAAAATGAAGAACAGAAACAAGAATATATACCAGCCGAGCAACTATATTCCCCGCCGTGACTTTGCCCGGGCCGTAGATAACTCCGGGATAAACAACCACCACTGGCAACCCCTCCGTGGCAGCTCGTAACGCAATCTTATCCGCGGCAACCTTCGATCGCTCGTACTCCGTGCAGAAAAACTCTTCTTGATGGACCTGTGATCACAAATTCAAAGCAAATAAATTCATCAACTAATCTTTTTCTATTTCGGAAAGCAGAAGTTGTAACCAAATCCAAAACTTGTAATGTACTTGAGTCTCGTCCGCGACTGAGCCATCGGTTGGTCCCAGAGCAAAAAACGACGACGTATAGACGACCTTCTCTATCGTCTTCGTTTCTCTAACCGCTCGCAACACGTTCTCCAATCCTCCTACATTGACCTAGTTAACAGAATCAAGAAATTCAACACCGCGATTCCAATCTTGCTCTCCGACAACTTAGGAAAAACCAAAATCAAAGTTAAAAAATTAGATTTTTGAGGTGTTACGGAGAAGAACTTGGAAGAGTCTGGAAGCCAGGTCTCGACAAGGGCGGCGGCGTGGAAGATGACGTGGCAGCCGGAGAAGGCAAGTGAAAGAGACGAGTAATCGGTGACATCTCCATAAACGATCTCTAAGGCGGCGTCGTCGGATCCGTCGGCGGAGCGCGGAGGCAGGAAGGAGAGGTCGCTGGTCGGCCGAACCAAGGCGCGAACGGAGTGTCCGTTTCGCAGGAGGGCGAGACAAAGCCTACCACCCAAGTAACCTGACGCGCCGGTTACCAGTATCTTCTTCATCTCTCCTCTCTCTCTCTCTAGCTAATTGGTATTTTTCAGTCGGAGCTATTATAAATGTATATGATTCGAGCCAAATTTCTAGTTTTGTTATTGTTATTTTGTAGTTTGACTTCTTTCTCAAGTGATCTCAACTTTGCAAATGGATATAGATCCCTTTTTTTCCGGCAAATCAAATCTTCAGGAGATTTGTAAAATTCCGACAATGAGATTGAATTTTTAGTCAAAGGGCTTCCTGATTTTAACAGTACAAGTGAAAAGCATCAGCTTTAACCAGCATTATTTTTTGTTGGACAAACTTTTATTTCATAGTGTCATGAATACGAATTAATATAAGCCCGGGAGATGAGTTTTTTTTTTTTTTTTTTCCCAAATTTACAATATCCTCTTTATTCTCAACAGTCAATACAACAACGATCGGCAACAAAAAAGAACTCAAACTCCTTTCAGTGAAGTCACTGTACATTTCATCTCAGACATGGAAGTCATCAACACAATCCAACCATTCATCAGTATCAGCCTTATTGCAGAGAAAACAAGGTTTCAGCGTCTTCTTTTAGGGTTATTAGTTGTTAAGCTTATAATCTGGAGCGGCGTATGCATTTGATGGGATTAAAATGGGTGTGCCTTCTTGTAGAAGTATATGGGCGCCTACTTAAAGAATCAGATGCCTTGATATCCCAATCTTCAACGTTCTTGGGTACGCAGACATCAAACAGGATCTGGCCAAGAATGCCGTGAGCGCTAATGCTCGGTGGGTTCGGGAGGTGGATTAGACCTTCTCTTTGCTGGCCTTGTACGAACCCGACATCTCTGCCTTCATAATACTGCATTGAGCTGGGTAAGAACTCGTCGCTGGGTGCTAGAGTAATCCCTCGGAAGCCGTCTGAGCTCGCTGCAGCTTTTCTTAGTGCATGAATTGGCTCGATTATCTCGTCATGTGTCGTCTCTAGATCACTGGGTCTATTTCCTTCAAGTTTCTGTGATCTTTGAGAATAAATTCCTGATGCTTTACCAAGGAGCTCTGTCACTGCAGCCTCGTAGTCAATCCGGTAATGCCTGTAGTGGCCTGCGGCAAAATTAAAGCAACTTAAAAGGAGAAAGAAAAAGAACTTGATTATGACAACTTGGTAGTCGTGTTTATATCCAGACTCCGGAGAGTACTTTTTTTTTTTTTTTTGAAACTCAGAGTAGTTGCCAAACTAGTAAAATAAAATTGTCTCCGAGCAAGTTCTAGACAAGTCCCACCAGCCTAAAACAAGTAAAAGGAAGCTTCACCAACTTAATTGTCTAAGAAATAATTGAAGAACGTTTAAAGTCAAGGAGCAGACCTACGTGAGGAGAGCCATTCCATTTTACCAATTTAACATCGGCCCCGAGTTCTTGTAGTCGTTGAACAAAATTGCAGATGACTTGGTACGGAGCAAGATCATCATTTTCTGAACATAAAATAAGATATGGGGCCTTCATGCCCTGCACAAAATTGCAGTAGAAAATGGAAAACATTATAAAAGTGCAATTATTGAGGAGCGGTAAACAATGACAGAATAATGGAAAAGGGAAGACATTATAAAAGTACAATCATTGAATGGCAATGAATATATACAGTTACTTACAACAGAGGAGTAAAGAGTCTGCCAATACTCAGCACGCTGTTGTTCAAATCTGTTAAGGAAAAGGGCATCAAGACTAGATGATATTCCATGAGCTAACCAAGATACTACTCTTGGTGGTTGGGACATTTTCATGACAGATGGGTGAAGAATAAATTTAGTCCCCAGATCACTGGTAAAATCCACTGGACTTGAATCATATATGTGGCCACAGATACAGTCTTTAACCAATCGGCAATCATCCTTCACCCAAAAACAAAAATAAAAGGTAGAGAAGATCAGGCTAAAAAACTAGTGCAAATATGCAGCAACTTCTAAAGTATATTGCTCATGAGACATCCATATAAGAACCAACAACTTATTGGAAAGTAAAAACTAAGCATATTACATAATAATTGACTGCCCTTGAAAAGAAAACACTACCAGATTGAGTTGTGCTTCACCATGCCCCTCGATTATCTGCAAAGGGGAGAAAAAAAAAAGCGCAGTCATTTAAACCTTTTTGAAACGCTGTATGCTACATAACCCTGAACAATAAAGAATACGCTCAGAATACAGAAGGGCATTGCTCGGAGAAATTTACCTGAAGAACCTTGAACATACATGCTTTTGGACCCCCAGAAAACGATGCAAAGACTACTGGGCACGGCTTAATTTTGAGCTCCTGCCAAAATCAAAATAACACATTTGCGAGTAAGCCCATGTTATGAATTAAATCTCAAAATAAGTCGTTTATTTTAGTCTAATTTTGTTGCGCAAACAGATTTTACAACTTTGCCGTTAGTTTAGTAGTTTAGTTGATCCAATCTGAATAAGTATTCATCCACTGTAAGTTAAAGAACCAGATTTTTTTATTATTATTTTTTATACTGACCTCAACGAGCTCATTTAAAAGATCAGCTGCCAGTGCTGTTGCCTTCTCGGGAAAGAACCTGCGCATATTATATTTAAGATATAATGTGACATAATCTAAAGCAACTATTAATTGTCTGATTTTAATCCATCTATAAAAATCAGCCGTTATTGCGGTTACCATATCATCGTTAAGATATAATGTTGACCATAATAATACCAAAAAGATAAAAAGATTGAGAACCGAAACTCAAAAAACTCAAAACCAAAAGAAACGTGAAAAGAAAAAGGAAATCTTGAGAGAAAACACGGAAGAAATCTTTCAATTGGAACTGACATATTGAGAAATTGAGAGTGGCAGACGAGGGAATTCCATCCGAGAGAGGAGTAGAGCTGAACATAGCTCTTCAACTGCCGTTCGTGGCTCGACATCCATGCGAAAACCACCACAATCCCTTCAACTTTCCCAGCTCTCTCCTTTCTTCCCCAGTAATACCTTCCTCCGAAACCCCACATCTCCTTCTTCCCCAAAGTCAATTTCCGATTCCAACAATAATTTTGCCCAATTATGCGTCTTCCGATCCCAGAAAGGAAGAATCAAAACGAAAATTACTTCGACGAAAACGATTTAGCCGCAAGAAATCTTGGGAATTTGCGGAAAGTGGAGAGACAGATTTCGGATTAAGTCAATGGAGATGGTGGAAAGAGAGGCAATTATATGTTTTTCTGTCCGTTTATGTGATTTTTGCAGCCATTTTTTTCTTTTCATCTTTTTTTTTTTCGAGTTAGAATATGCCAATATGGGGATTGGGGAGTGGTCCGGTCAATTTCCTGCCTTGGATTCCCTGCAGTCAAGTCTAGCATCTTATCCCGTATATACCATTTTTCGCCTCAAAGTGCGTGCCACGTTCTCTCCCTCGATTTTTAAAGTACTAAATCGCCCCTAATATGATATCTAGATCACCAAAGCACCATTATAGTAATCGTGTCGCTATATTATTGGATGAGCTTCATAGCCAATTGCCTTAAACGAAAGACCTTAAGCACATGCGAGTTAAACGCAATAAATTATTTTTTCATGCTCTGGATGTGATGCGGCCGTTAGTAGATTATCATTGTTCTAATCCTATGTATTTTGGGTAAACTTTGCCGCCTTTGAAATCTTTTTCTTTTTGACAAAAAAAAGAAAAGAAAGAAATGAAACTTTTGGGTCTCGTTCACTTCGCGGATTCGAGTTTTCAATTCGAGTTGAGATGTTACATTTTTTAAAAATTTTTTACTGTAAAAATCTAAAACTAAAAACTCGAATCGGTGAAATGAACGAGGCATTGACTTCACCTCAACAATTATTATGTTAAACACTGCGCTAATACAAGCGTGCTACGGAAAATCAGAAACCCCATGTAATTATGTTGTTAATTTCTATTTTATTTTTTGTTTTTGGTGAATCATGAAGGTGATGTTTGATTGATAGGTTCAAAATTATAGTTCATAATTCTAATTTTTTAATTTTAAATTTTTTATGAAAAAAAATACTGTAACAGAATTAAGACCTGTGATCTTAAACCAAACAAAACTCTTAAAACAAACGTCTCCGAAGATTTCTTAAACTAATTAAGTAGTTATCCTTTAGCTTGACCAGCCCAGATCCATCTAGTAGGTCTAACACCACAAGTTTACAATTATTTTTGTGCTTAATGACCATAGCGTAGACTCTAAAAACATACATCATGCTGAATTGAAATGGGGAAAAAAAGATGCAAGAAAATGTGGACACGCTAATTAATAGTGTACTAAAATTTATCTAACAATGACATGGATATGTTTGCTAGGAAAACAAATTGGAAAGCAAAGCACAGAAGTTGACCTTCAATCCACCAAACATCATATCTTATCCATATATTACGAATATTGAACAGTAAATGGAATACCCCCACTTACCCCAAATCACTCCAGAGGCCAGCCGACATTTTTCCCTTTTTTTCGTGAAAATTTGTGTTATAAGATGTAATAACAATCCTTTTCTATGAACCACATTTCTAAACCACCAAAATTAAGAAATTTTAATATGACAAATTAATTAACTTATGGAAATATGTTGTACTTATAGGTCAGTTTTTTATTGTTGTCCTACTAAAGAAGGGTTATTAGCACAAATAGTCACCAACCTATTTAGTAAGTGATAGTTTAGTTCTTAACATTTTTTTTGACAAATCGATCCCTAACCTTTTAAAACAGGTGCAATGTGATCATTGTCAAGATCCGTCTAAAAGTTAACGGGAGAAGGTACATGACCGCCTACGTGACCCATTAAGTTGGGGTATATGTGTAAAAACACATCCTTAGTCGAATTGGGGCAAATTGGGGCTCAAGACGATGCCGACGATGGTGCCGGAGAAGATTAGAGAGGACTGGTGAAGCTCGGGGCCGCCTGCGAGGGCTCTCACTTTGGGATGATGCACCACTCTCTGACAAACGGTGTTGAACACGTGAATGGAGGGAAAAACGGCACTGAACAGAGGTGAGTGTCATCGCCGCTGTCATGAGTTTGAGCTTCTTCTCCTCGTCGGGCACCATCGTCGCTGGGCATATTTCGGCGCTGCACGGCTTTAGACGCAGACAACGATGGAGATATTTCCGATAGTAGTAGAGGAGATGAGGATGGGTTACGATGGCCACTGTGGTTGGTGCGAACGTCGTCACTGTCGCGTTGGTTATCTTCTTCACGTTGGCTTTCGCCTCCTCAACCCTGCTCGTCGATGTTCGTGATGTGGGCTCAATTTTGGTAGTTCATTGGGCAAGATTGATCTGAGTTCGTCAAAATTTTGAATGTTGTCGTTAGTTCGATTGAGAGATTGATGAATCTCTTCAGGATAGGCATCAACTGTGGACTGTTTGGCTTTGAAATCAAGGGGTATCGACCTCAATTCCAAAATCGGGCTTGTTTGGTGAGTGTAGATCTAAGTTTGTTCATTGTTTTAGTTAGCTTTGTTGGATTCGTGTGTTGATGAGTATGGGTGACTGTAATGATGGTGGTGATGAGAAGAGTTATGGTGGTGTTCGGAAAAGGATGGTGGTGGAGATGGTGAACGGTGGATGTTGGGTTGATGATGGTTGTTGTGGTCTTGGTGACGGTGGCCGTAATGGTGGTGGTGGTTTGGTGGAGATGATGGTGGGTGATGAATTTGTTTTCTTTTTGGGCATTTCAGTCATTTTAGTGAAAAAGATGGTCACGTGATGGGTCAGGTGCCTTCTCCTGTTAGCTTTTGGACGGATCTTGACGGAAATGACCATATTGCACTTGTTTTAAAAAGTTGGGGATCGATTTACCAAAAAAAAAAATTTTTAGGGACTAAACTGTCACTTACTACATAAGTTGGGGACCATTTGTGCCGATAATCCTATCAAAAAATTACTAATTAGTTCCACACTAGTGTACAGAGGACTCGATCAAACAGGTGCATCAATTACAAAGGAATTTGGTCCTTTTATGCTTCAGAGAAACCTGGGCCTTGGGGGGGTTATGTGGACTTACAATTATGCTTCCAGGAGGCGAGTGGTATCAAGAGATACAGAGGGACTAAACACTATTGACCAATCTCCAGTAAAAGTTTTCTGAGTGCTTCAGCAGTGAGAGGGATGTACAAACAATCTTGCCCATCAGAATGCCTTCTGGTCTTGACCAGCTCATGATCATTGAATTCCGTCAAATGGAAGTTGAGCGTAACCTGGTTGCTCGCCAGGAACCACTCTCGACAGGTGGTGTACAAATTATCGAATGGCATTCCTAGGCAACATTGTTAGGTTCTAATGCATGAAAATAATACTCCGTGATATGAAATGAACTATACGAAGAATAAATGCTGCATAAGATGTGCAGATAACGTACCTTCTTCATCGGGATGAGACAGTTGATATTCTGCAAGAACTCTGAAAACACTCTGTGCATTTGGCGTCAAACTCAGTAAAACAAGCGCTGCATTTTTGGCACTTTGGGTGGTATTGTCATTTGCAAGAATCAAAGGAATATGTGTTCCTTCAACCTTGTATGCTGCAAACGTAGGAACATGATACCATCCCCAATTGAACTGTGTGTGAACCATCTTCTTGTTCCACACTAATGACATATAGAACAGTCTTATCAGATACAGAAAATACTTTGAATTAATGCTATTCCCAATGATGAAACATTATGAACAGCTGATGGTTTTAACCAACAATCGATGATGGTTTCCATTTTATATTGAACAGATGCAAACTAAAGTGCAAATGTCTCTGCAGCTAGCTTGAACACTTTCTACAATATGATAAATGTTAGAGGGTGTACTTACAAAGAGGTGCATTCACAATGGTCAACAGAGGCAACAATACGAATATGGGAAGCTAAGCGTGCAAGAATCTGTTGAGTCTCAGAGTCTCTTAACCCAGGCCCATCGATGTTGTGAACAATGATGCATATAAAACAATCATTCTCCTCCACCTGTGGCCCATCCAAAAATTCAAGAAGATCATCCACTGATTTAGAATTGAAAGGCTGATGACCTTTTGGCATGTTTCCTGAAGTATTCCTCCGTTAGTTCTTCAACTGATCACAGAGAATTTCAGCCAAGGCTACCAATTAAGCAGCCAAATCGGCAAGCACAACAGAGAATACAAAGTAAGGGATCATATGAATGAACCCCAACAAAGTCCAGTGTACAACTAAAGCCAAAAAAAGCTAAAACATGAGTAACTTTATTACCACTTCTATTTATACGAAAGCACTCTCCCCTCCCCATAAAGGATAATAACCGAACAATATCCTCTATAATAACGCCTTCTTCGCCCATCGTTGAGCATTTCTTAACCGCTTGAACTACACGGACAGCATCAACTTCAGCCACACTGATGGAGAACCCCCGCTCTTGTGCGAAAATAAGGCCTTCCCGAAGGGCCATGCATTGGGCTAAAAACGGTGAGAAAGATCCTGCAATCCTCTTCGCCATACAAGCACAGACTATTCCTTCCCCATACCTGATGACAGCGCCTATTCTAATGGAGTTCGTACCCTCTCGAACTGACGCATCAGTATTAAGCTTGAAAAGTCCAGCCACCGGAAGTTTCTAGTGTACTTCACTAACAGGTACCGTAGTCCGATGTTTGGCCGCCGGATCCCAACAGCTCTGAAACTCAACAATTGTCCGCCCAATTAGATGTGACTTTTTATGAGAATTTTTTATTATAATAAAACTAGAATTAAAAACTTAAATCGGTGAAATGAATAAGACATCCGTCTTGAAAATTAGAATATTTACTAATAATAAAATAAGAGATTTATGTCTCGTTCATTTTATCGATTTGAGGTTTCAGTTTTAGGTTTTACAGTTAAAAATTCTTAAAAAAATATCATAATTACTTTTTTTCTTACAGTTAAAAGCTCTTAAAAAATGTTATATCTCAACTCGAATTGAAAACACAAATCTACAAAGCGAACGAGACCTTATTGTTTATTAAAAAAACATAGATTATTTTAAAAAAACATAGATTTATTGACCATGTTTAGAATTGATCTCGTTTTTACTTTTTACGTTTTTCGAGAAAGAAAAAATAAAAACGTTTTTTAAACGGCATTTGGCGCAATGAAGATAAAAAAATAAAAATGAAAAATGACTTTTAGTTGTTTTTCATTTTTCATTTTTATTTTCTCCTCTCTCGAGCACATAGAGAGAAAGAGAGACATTAATTGGTTTTTTACAATGAAAACAATCTCTTGATAA